CTAATCTGTGTATTCACATGTGGCTGTGGCTTACTGGTAATGCACTGGTATCTTGCCTCCCTAGTGCCTACATGGTGTCTCTTTGACCCTGCCTCCTTCTCTCTCTCTCTCTCTCTCTCTCTCTCTCTCTCTCTCTCTCTCTCTCTCTCTCTCTCTCTCTCTCTCTCTTTCTCTCTCTCTCTCTCTGTGTCTGTCTATTTGGATATCCCCCTTGCTTTATTCGGCTTAGCCATTGACTGAAACAGCTTTATCCATCAACCAATAAAAGCAACACACATTCACAGCATAGAGAAGGACGTCCAACATCAAACTATCACCAATTAAAACTGAATATCAGTAACAACAGAAACATCAGATTACACACTTTTTAATATGTTTATTAGAATTGGGAGAAATAGTAGTTATTTGTTATTGCAATTACTTTATAGCTAAAGGAGTGCTATGGAGTTTGCAGTGGAAATTATGGGTTGCTTGAAACAATTCTGATAAAATTAATTTTATATCCCTGAAATACATAAATATACTTCAAATATTTTAAAATCATTTTGAAGATTAAACCTCCATTAACATTCTATTTTTTCTTGTTCCATTAGTAAATATTATATATGAATTTTCCTTTCATCCTCATGCAAATGGACTAGAAAATGTATCCCAAGAGTAAGGACTCATTGCTCTGTAAATTGACAGAAAACTGCCATTATTGCCAATGTAAATTAAGTGGCACACTTTCATAATATTCAGAGTTGTTCTCAAAGACAGATTTACATCATAAATGCCAAATTAAATCTTGTAAATTATATTACTGATAATAAGATTACTCATAAATATATCACCTTACACCAAATACACCTACATATTCAAAAATTGGGTGAATTTTGATAGAAAGATTGAACAAATACTGCCTATTTGATTATCCGAATTACCTGAAACTATGTTTTCTTGAGAGATAGCATTTCAGTTAGTAGACAAATGCAATCAGTTTATGATTGAAACATGTTGTCTGTAATGTGCCTAGGGTCTTGTGTCTTAATTGAGAAAACAATGCTATCAGAAACCTTAAGAGCTATGAATTTTCATGAAATATTTTCCTTTATTTCATACCTTTTTATGTTAGGCTATGATATAAATATTATAAGAATATAAAATTAATTTTTACATAAGAGCTGAAATACAGATAGCTTATAATTTTCTAGATGAAATGGTTTCAAACAAAATTTGTTTGGAAAAAAGACATCCCAGTGTATAATTATGTAGTATGTAAGGCATGTGCATGGACAATAAAATGCTACTGTCTACATGATCTTTAATTTGTAGCTTGTTATTTGAAATTCCTTTCAAATGTGTTTAGAGAAAGGTTGTTGAGTACCATGAAGACCTATTAAAAAGTGATGGACTATGTGATGAGATTTTATCCAAATCAGAAGAGTTTTATTACTTGTCAAGGTATTTTTTATACACATCATTCTTCAGCTCTTTTAACTACCATTGTTTATATTTCAACATAATCTATCACTTAAAATGAAATTTCCCATTTTTTAGGGATGTATAATACAGTTTGATAAGATTCTGACTTCAGTTAATGTTTCTCATTATTATCAGTAGTTCAAGCCATAAAGTAATATGTGTCTTTCTTTGTTAATTAGTATTGTAGAAACTACAGAGTAGGTATGTAATAAATGCTTAAAGAACAGGCGATAATAAATTTTTGCTTAAGAATTTAGGGAGATTTCCTTTTTTAAAAAATTAAATTATTTGTTCATAAACTAGTATCTTGGAATCCATACTTTGTGATTAATATTATTTATGGTCTATGTTATTGTCCCCAAGATTACACATTTGGGCTAAGGGGATAAATCGTGTGTCAGAGGGCTTGATCTGCTACCATGAACACCTGTGTCCAACTACTCAAAATCATCATGAAAGGCAGGGTGTGACTGCTTATGCCTGTAACTCTAGCAGTGAGAAGTGGAGCAGGTAAATTCCAAAAACTTCCTGATAAGACAGCCTAGCCAAAATAGTGAGCTCCAGATTTAGAAAGAGATCATGTTTCAAGTCAATAAGATGTAGTGTCAGTGAGGAGGCCTTGGAGATCTCTGGGGCCTTAGGTAGTAGATCAGTGTTTACCATGGCGTGCTAATGAACTTTGGGAGCCCATTCTACATGGAGGGATGCTCTCTCAGCCTGGACACATAGGGAGGGGCCTAGGTCCTGCCCTGGATGAAATGACAGACTCTCTGGAGATCCCCAAGGAGGGCCTCACCCTCCCTGTGGAATGATATGGGGGTTGGGTAGGGGGCTGGGGGAGGGCTGGGAGAGGGACAAGGGAGGAGGGGTGGGAGAGAGAGCTGGGATTGATATGTGAAGCATGCATGTATGTTTCTAAGACATAATTTATTTTAATAAAAATTTAAAAAATGTTTGACAGCTAAAACAAAAAAAAGATGACGGTCTATTTGGTAAGGTATCTGACTTCATGGTCTTGCTGCTTTATGCTAATTCACTGGCCCATGTATCCACTCAGTCTCATCACATTATACACCCCCACACACACACTTGATAATTCAATCTTTGGCTGTCTATGAAATTGTTTGAATTATTTGTTTATAAATCTTAATCTTTATTAAATGATCTATATAAGCTTACAAATTTTTGTATGGTTATTACTTTGCAAGTATTCAATGAATAATTCAAACTCATCTTGTATATTAACTTCCATATAACTCACTAACAACAGGAAAACAATTTCATTGAATAAGGCTTAAGGTCTTGTGTTCTATAATTGTTTTTGAATCCTAGGGCTATACACTGTTTTTTTTTAGCACACATCTATTTCAAGCAGTTAGATAAAAAAGAAAAAGAAAAAAAATCAGTCAAAAAATAGAGGTACAATATTTAAAATATGTACACATGTATGTTAAAATATCACAATATTTTTCTTTCTAAGTTTTTATTTTATTTTATCGTATGGGCATATGCTTGTGTGCCTGTATGTATGCGTACCATGTGCATGTAAAATTCAAAGAGACCAGAGGAGAGCATTGAATCCACTGAATCTTGAGTTACTGACAATTGTAAACTACAATAAGGGTGCTGGGAATCAAACCTGCAAGAACAGTTAGTACTTTTAATGTCTGAGCCATTCCCTTAACCATCAAATTTGATGGGTCAGCCATTAAAGGCTAAGCTCACAACCAAAAATAAATTTGTAAAACTGTTGCCACAACAGAACAGTGGAAGGATCAATGCGTGTGACAATGGAGGGAAAGAATCTGTGGTACATGCATAGAAAGGCACATGTCAAGCTAATCCTAACAGAATAAGTGCTAAACCCACACTCCTTGAGAATAATAGAAAAATCTTACATCCAATTGTCATCACTTCATAGTAGATAATCTAAGATATTACTGATCTTGTCATAATGAAGAAACTCAATTATAAATGTATATACATTGATTTCAGGGTGTTATTATAATGTTGAAAGTTAAGAGCATTTAAGCAGAGCCCAGCTACTGGATCACATTTTAGATCAAAGCTCTATAAATACACACACACAGACACACACACACACACACACACACGCACATACATAACACACACGTGTCTTCTTACAGGATGAGTTTGGAGGCAAAACACATTTTCATGATTGTAAGATCAAACATGTTCCTTGTACCAAGCCATATTCTGAAAATTGTATGTTGGCTATCAAAACAAGCTGTTATACAGAAATAAAAGCAGGAACAACTGCCTTGATATTTTAAAGGTGATTTTATGACAGCCAAAACCTGGAAAACGAAAATTCCTTTAGTTTGATCATTCTTTGCCTGCAAATGCCACAGACATTTTTTGAAAGATATGGAGACCGAAGCATTACTTCTTTTTCTTTCAATTTGTTTTCTTATTTTTAATTTAAATTAGAAACAAGCTTGTTTTACATGTCAATCCCAGTTCCTTCCAACCACCTCCACTACCCTTTCTCATGCAAACATGGTATGTACTCACTCATATACGGATTTTAGATGTACAGCACAGGATTACCAGCCTACAAAACAATGTGTTATTTCTAGTCCCTTCTTTCCTAGTCCCAGATTCATCAGTGTCATTAAAGCATGCTGTCTGCTTTAGTCATTGGAGGCTTTCACTGACTGCACTCTCTTCAGAACTCATGCACAGATAACATATCTGTGTTTCCTTAGTGATATTCTGAGCACATGTCTTTGAGTCTTCCCATCCAGAGCACATACTTCTGGTGGAATTCCTGTTGTGTGGGAGGCCAGCTAAGCTGCATTCTCACACTGGAACTCCCAGATTTGCCCCCCGTCCTGGGTTTATTCCAGTACCTCTGTCTCAGAAGCCAGATATGTGTTGCTGATGTCTGTTCTTTAGCACCCCAGCCTGATAACACTGATAACAGCCTTTGAGCTGTTTATTTATCTGATTGATGTTGCTTCTTTCTCTCTCTCTCTCTCTCTCTCTCTCTCTCTCTCTCTCTCTCTCTCTCTCTCTCTCTTTCTGTGTGTGTGTGTAATTATGTTTTCTTGTTTCCTTCTTTTGTATTAAAATTGTGAAAATGTTTGCTCCCAGGACAAACTGCCAACTGATTAATTATATTAATTGGGGATAGGTAGGGTTGGGAGAGGGCAGAGTGACAAAGCAAATGCGTGCAAATCAGTTGCATCTAGGATGACCAAATATTGTTTCCTGTTATGAAAAGTATTATTAAATAAGGCTATAAAGGTGAGGAACAAGAAGGGAACTATTACCATTAAACATTGCCAACAGGCATTGATTTAAGAAAAAATCATCAATGAAATAGCATCTAAAACACACACACAAATACTCTGGTTCTCTTCCAGTCATATAAATCTTTAGCATTCTAATGCATACACACAAAAGTAAGACGTTTAATGGAAACCAGGGGAGGATACACACAGCAACATGGGTGTTTGTTTTAGTCACAGGAAGGTCACTGTGGTGATGACTTCAGGCAAACACCTGCACCATCTGTTTTTGCCAACAAGCCTTTTATATGAACACAACACAGTCATTTCCCACCAGGATATGTTCTTCCGGACCTGTGTAGAACTTCTGCTCACCTGGAACATGACTACTTCTTTAAAGAACTTTTCACTATATTGTATGACTCAAAGAGGTGAGTATTTTTGAGGAAAAAGGAAATCATCTCTGAAGTTAAAAATTTGACACAAAATTTCTTCTCTCTGTCTCTCTGTCTCTGTCTCTGTCTCTGTCTCTCTCTCTCTCTCTCTCTCTCTCTCTCTCTCTCTCTCTCTTCCTATCTCTCAGTCCAGTGATGATACCTGTGGAAATGAGACAGAGACTTGGAGAGTAATATCACATCCGTTTAGCCATCACTGTTTGGAGACTACAATTTGAATACCTGGGGAAGAAACAGAGTCCAGTGAGGGGAGATAATTAATACACAATTCTATAGTAAATGGTACTGTACATACAAGTGAGGGAAAGATAGCCTTCAAAGGAAGGGATCACAACTCTTTGTAAACTGATTCCATACACTAGGGAAAATCCAGTGAGTAAAGTCCCAGTGCCTTCAGAACTTGGTCAGGTACAACAACTCTCTATGTGCTGTTATTTACTCTTATGAAGGCAAACAATACATGTCTGCACGCATGAAATATTTTTGTTCACATTTGAGCTAAACATTATCTTTGATTTTCAAATAAAGAAGATTAAGATTACAGTTTAGCAAGAAAAGGAATCATCCTGCCTTGCCGTCTGAAAGTTCAATTGTTTCATTACCATATCCCAGTATATTATAGCTATTTTAAAAACACACATCCAAGACTTTTAATATTGTGGACAGAATCATGAAATCAAAAACATCACCCTGTGTAATGAGCATCTGGGTATAGCAGAGATTCATACTTTCATTTCTTAACTTTCTATCACAAGAACAATCTCCAGCTTTGACTTTCACTAAGAAGATGTGGCTGGCCTTAGAAGAGCAAATATTTTCCTGGTTTAATTAAATCAGAGGAAATGGTTTCCCTCAATGATAGCATCCCTACAGGGGATCCTATCATTCATGGATTCCCTAGGTTGATGAGTTACTTTTTATTTTCTAAGTAATCTAAATAATCATTGCTTATTTTGAAGAAATGGGGAATTTTTGTTTACTGTAAAGAAACACGTTTTATTTCAAATTTTGTGAGTAATTTTTGTTTCCCTTTCTAGATAAGGCAAAGAGGGAAGGAAAAACGTACCTTGTTTAGTGCAAGACAAACTGTTGGGTTAACTGCCCAAATGAGAACTTTCCCATACTGTCTTAGGAATGAAGGCATATCCTGATCAGTAACCCTCACCAAGTTCAGAGGGTTAGAGGTGACTCAGCCTCCATGAATGTGATCTGTTCTTATTTAAAGAAAGGCCCCTGAGTCATGTGGAGTTGTGTCAAAATGTGTGGTATGTCATGTTATTTTAAAAAGACAGCTTGGAGAGAGGAAATTGAACTATCTTTTTTTTTCAGAGAACTTTGCCCCTCTGTAGAAGTCATTTCCCACACATCTCACTTACTCTAAAGTACGACTGTGGTGTATTTTTATCATAGATATATCCCTAATGACTTCTCATGTCAAGCTTTTGAAGAGAAGTATTTTTCATTAATATTTATCCTTAGATGCTGTTAAATGCATTGCTTACAGCTGGATACATTTACTATTGATCTCCTATCTTCTTGATGGCTCATCTATCCAAAAGGATTGGCTAAACACATATATTTGTTATTTTTAACAATAGAAAGAAATGCATGAACTTAAATGTGCTTCAGTTGTCTTAGCTGAGAAAAATTAGGAGCAACACCAATCTTGTTTGTATGCTGAGTTTTTAATTGCACACAAAAAATTCTTAGAAAAGCAAAAATAAATAATATACAAAAAATAAAGTAGTATAAATAGCCAAAGGGTTGTCAGGGGAGTAAAAGGCAATTTCTGTAGAGGTGTGGTCTCTGGTAGATTGGCCATGCTCCAGTGGATGGCCCCACACACATATGCATATGGGGAATACAAATTAAATTCAGTGAGTTATTATAGAAACAAAACCAGGAACATAAAGTTAGGGAGATGTGTATGTGAGGGATTCAGGAATCTGGGTGCGAAAGTAGGGTGAAAATAATCCCACTTTTATAAAATTCTTAAAGAACAAATTAAAATATTATGTAAAATAAATAAAACAAATAAGTAAATTTAAAAAATCATACAAAGTACCTTGATAGGTAAGATTACCATCAGTTATGATAGACTATATCTTCAAGACTCATGACGAAGTATGAAATCTTGCATGTCCAGGTGCATGAGAAGTTGTGTCATCATAAAACCACTTTTGTTTTTGAGTGACTTTCTCTATACAACAACAATATTATATATTTCAACTTCAATTTGGGTAAGTCACCTTTGTGTCTGACTCAGTTCAATCAACCAAACAACTGATTTAGTCCGTTACCAGCTCTGAAGTTAAACACTGAGTCAGGAAACCCTATTCATACTTTCAACATGGTCTAACTTTTGTTTATTTCAATCTCAATACAATGCGCTAAAAATATATTTCTAGTGTTGTCCCTATTTCTGCTGATGATGATCATTGGCCAAGCATGCCACTGCTTGGGCATGAATAATAGTCAATCACAAGTTTTGGAATTGATCTAATTTTGGATTTAGGTGCAAGTAAAATAATTGTAGTAGACGTAGACTTGAAGGGTTGGCAGAAATTGATTCCAGTGCCATTGGTAGTAGGTACATGTTAGAATGTGGTATTGAAGACTTGTGGCAGAACAGGTTGTCTCCACTGGAAGACCAAGAAGGTTGCCAGAAGTAAGGACACTGTGTTCATAGCTTCACCAGAATTTGTTCATATATACCCATCCAAAATTCCAGGATCCCACTTGTTCATAGTTCTTATCCTAATTTTAATGAAAAAAACAAAACAAAACATTAAGCCTTGGAAATCAGTGTGGGCTATAATTGATCCAATCTAAACTTGTTTCATTTTCAGAAGAGTTTACCCTGTGGCTATGAGATAAGAATGCCTTTCCTGATCTTGACCCCCGCCCCCAATTTCTCTTGTGCTTTCACTGCCCTCTCTTCAACTGAACTCCAGGAGCTAAGTCCAGGGCTTCACTGTGGATTACTGCATCACCTTCTATCAGTTACTGGGTGTTGCTTATATGATGGCAGCTAGCGTGGTCACTAATCTGATTACAAGGGAAGTTCAGTTCAGGTATCCTCTCCACTATTGATAGGATATCATGATGGGGAAAACCACAGAGACTGTTGATTTGAGCTAGTGGTAGCTCATTAACTCTGGATTGACACCTAGGGAACGTGCATGGGACAAAACTAGGCCCTGTGAATGTGGATGATGGCTGGCAGTGGGACAAGGGTTTATCCCAGGTACATGAAACTGGCTTTTTGGAGCCCATTACCTATGATGAGATACCCTGCTCAGTCTGATTCACTGGGAAGGGGCTTGGCCAGACTTTGTTTATTCCCCAAGGAAGGCCTTACTTCCTCTGCGAAGTATATGGGAGTGGGATGGGGTAGGTAGGAAGGCAGGAGAAGGGGAAGGAGGAGGAACTGGGATTGGAATGTAGAAATAATAAAAAAAGAGAAAGAAACCAAAACGAATGCGTTTCCAAGCAAAATTTGTGAGTGCTTTTTAAAGAACATTTTCTACAAATTTAGCATCCTGTTTTTATCATTCACATTCTCAAATTCTTCAGCATGATTAGGAGAAACCAAGCAACCTAATTGTTATCCTTTTTTCTACTTAAAATCTGACCATTTGCTTAGCTCTAAAAATACTTTGTCACTCAGAACTTCACGATAAATAAACATTCGTAGGAAATATGCAAATATTTATTTCATTTTAAATATTTATTTCTAAGCACATGAGTGTGTATGTATCTGTGCCTGTATGCTCCATATGCAGATATCAGCAGAAACTATATGAGGGCATCAAATATCCTGGAGCTTGAGTTACAGAATGTTGTAAATCACCTGATACTGATGCTGGGAACTAAATTTAGGTCCTGTGTAGGTGCACAGATTAAGATACATGGAACTAGGATAATACAGGCTAATTTTATTTGGGGAGAAGTCACTGACATGAGAAACCGAGAAGCCTCTCCCAGACCCCAGATCAAATCCCACATGCTCATGTACTTACCTGTGACCACACCCAAAATGCCGTGGTCAACTCCACAGGTACATTTGGTAGATCTCTCACTGAAGTCCTGTGCAAGATCAGCAAGAATATGTAAACTTAAAAGTTCTTTTCCTTCCTTCCTACCTTCCTGACTTTTTTTCTTTTTTTTTTTTTTTGAGACAGGGTTTATTTTTGTAGTACTGGTTGTCTGGTACTGTCTCTGTAGACCAGAGTGGTCTGACACTTATAGATCCACCTGTCTCTGCCTCTTGAGTGCTGGGATTTAAAGTCCAATAAGAATTTGTAACTTCTAAATAAACTCTCCACACCCTCTCCACTATGCTGGAACTCACTTGGTGGAGAAAGGGTCTTAGTATTTTGCCAAGATTTAAACTTCTGGGTACTGTATTGTGGAATATTTGTTTATACTATATGAAGATATGAAGATAGGTTTAATAAAGCTCCAGCACTGAATGGTCAATAACTAGTCAGGAGATAATTAGGTGGGCTTCTGGGCAGAGAGAGAGAGAGAGAGACAGAGAGAGAGAGAGAGAGAGAGAGAGAGAGAGAGAGAGAGAGAGAGAGAGAGAGAGAGAGAGAGAGAGAGAGAATCTGGGCAAACTATTTCATCAGCAGACTCAGAGCAAGTAGGAAGTGTCATACGAAGAAGAGGTAACCAAGCCATGTCGTAGAATGTAGATTAAAGTTATTGGCAAATTAAGTTATAAGAGCTAGTTGGGAAGAAGCCTAAGATAAGGATAATCTTTCATAGCAATAAGTCTCTAGGTCATTATTTGCAGGTTGGTGGTTCAAAGATAGTCTGGCAACAAAGTTTGCTATTTGATGCTCAAAATGGGGCATATAAATCCACGTTGGACCTGAGAAAACTAAAATAATTGTTTTGAGTAGCTCATTGATTGTGCTATATAGAAGCACAACTTTTTTAAAGAGGCCCTGCTATAGAGCACTTAAATA